GAAATATAATATCGAAATTAAGATTCTAGAGCCGTTAGAAGCTTTTCTAATATAATAAAAAAAAATCGATATGCTTTTTGAGGTTGGAAAAGTCATACAGAATTAAGAAATATAATATCAAAATTAAGATTCTAGAGCCGTTAGAAGCTTTTCTAATATAATAAAAAAATTCAATATTATTTTTAACGTTCTGTGACCCACACACACTATGTTTCAGTGAGGATCGGACCTTTGGTCCTCAAACCCCCACTTTCACATTGTGTACTTATATCATGTGATTACTATGCATTAAGAGATTATTATATGATGATCGCCCCAAAAATTTTATTATAAATCACTCTGATTGATCAGCGGATCAGCAATTAAAGACTTTTAGTATAAAGTTTATATTTCTTATTTAATTCCTTTATTTATCTAGAATATTATGAATCATCATATCATTTAAATAAAAATTTATCAAAAAGAATGTTAAAATAATATCATATTTTCTAATGTGTTAACATTTTAGATGTTTTGTAATATGATATTAGTTCATTATAAAATTAGAGAAATAATGTTAAGATGAGTTGTAGTAAAATACCCCTTTAAAGTCTATATGTAAGATGTGTTTTAGCAAAAGAAACTGACAGATTTCATATATTTATAGAAAACATAAATGATGAGTTTTACCAGAAGATTATAACTAAAAATTTGTTTGAGTAAATATCTCAGATCTTTCAAAATAGGTGAACATTTTAATAGGATAATGATCCTAAGTATTAAGCTAAGCTTATGATTGCTTTACTTTAAGATTATTATTCTCAAGTTCTCAATTGGCTGTCTTTTTCTTCAGATCTTAATCCAATTGAGAATCTATAGGCAATAATAAAAAGAAATGTTGAGAAGAAGATTAATATTATAGTTATTGAAAAAATCAGTTATGTAGAATATTTTATAAGATTAATAAGAGAGGAATAGGAGGCAATTGATAAAAACTTATGTATTAATCTTGTAAGGTCTATGCTAGGGTATTTAGAAATAGTAGTAAAAAGCCAAGGTTGCATGATAAAATTTTAAAATTTTTACATTTTTATTATATATTTGAGGGTTTAATTTTAAAATTTGGGATTTTTTTAATAAAAGCTGAGCGAGATATTTGCCAATTTGTAATTGTCAGTTTTTTTCTGTTAGAGCTGTAGAATTATATAATTCTATGATATATTTCTATTTCATTATTAATAAAATCAGATCAATTATCACAATAAGAAGAAAAAAATTAAAAGGATTATATTTATCTATTGATGAAAAACAGTAAATATAAATTATTTGAAATTATTATTTAATATATATTTTTCTAATAAAAATAATATAATAACAAGAGAAACAACATATGAATGCTTTGCAGTAAAAAGGAAAAAACTACCAAAAAAATTTTTTTTGTGTTAATGTTAAATCTAGGTTTATTTTACTAAGAAAATAATATTTAGCTTATAAAGTAAAAAAATTTTTTTGGTAGTTTTCTCCTTTCTACTGCAAAGCGCTCATATATACACATTCCTAGTTCTATTCCAGAAAGATTTTTTTTGAATTTTAATTCTTTATTAAGATTTTGGAAGATATGATAAACGTTTTATAGTGAAGGATTACTAGGTTATTTACAGGGTATAATCATATATATGGACATTGAAATTCAGGTGTAATCATACGTGATTCCAACGAATGACGAAGTTCCGCCTTAATTTCCTATATCGGCATTTTTTAAATATTATATTGATAAAAGTTGTCAATTATTTTATTAAACAAATTTTTTGTGTATAATAATTTTAAATATTAATTCTTTCCAAGCCTTTTTTTTTTTTTTAGGAAATACTATTTCAACAAAAAGGAATATTATTCCGATTAGTAACCTTTCTACTCAAAATATAAAAAAAAAATTATTTATTATCTTTAAAATCATCACAAAACTATTAAAACGCTAAAATACCTTTTATTAGTTAGAATAAAAAAATAATTATTTTCTTATCAATAATAATTTCATTTCATTGGTTCATTAGAATGAGATTCTTTTTGCTCCGGTGTTTCATGCTTATTCTCAATTTGAATTGGAGGAAGCCATTTAACCGGATGTTGATTATAAATCGGATAAGATGGAAGTACAAGCTTATAAATTGTTGAAAAAAAATAAATTTCAAGTCAAACAATAAAATAATTGGTAATAATAATCTTGTGGATTAAATACATACTATAGCAGTAATAATAATTCCACCAGCAAAGATTTGGAAAGTCAAGAGAATATCTTGAAGAAGAAATCCTACAACAAATCCAATAATCTAAATGATTTTAAAATAAATACTTTCGACAACATTATATATTAATATTATTAAATATTTAATATTAATGCATACCGCAAATAAGATGATTCCTGCTTGAGAAATAAATTCGGCCAATTTTTGACCTTCAAAATCCTGAAAAAAAAAAAAAAAAAAGATAAATTATATAGCTAAAGTTCAAAGAAAGATAAAATATTCTTACAATTGTAAATTCGAACCAATTTGAAAACATTATAGTAAATAGATTATAGACGTCTATGAAATATTTATTAATAAAAAACACTTCTCAACAGATTTAAAATAAATCTATCGTAAAAATGATTCCCATTTTATAGTTAATGTACAACAAAAACGTGTAACCGATTCATTTGAAATTTGAACAATTGTTGCGCAGAATGTGAGTAATGTTACACTAGTACATGATGAGATCATATAAAAGAAGGCCGACTTAAAAAAAAAAAATCTTAAACTTAAAAATTTCGTTATGGCTGCTTCTGCTGTTAGAGACATGGTAGTCTTTACTGCACTTCGTAGAGCTGATGCTTTAGTAGATTATAATCTTTGCAATGACTCAACAAAAATATTTAAATTTAGAAAGCGAATAATTCTTGATGATGGAACTCTTACAGCAGATGAAAAATCAAAAGCAGTAAGAATATTAACCGAAGAATGTGATTACAATAATCTTCTCTATAATAATGGTAAAAAAAGACGATGTGGGGATTGTGATCAAGACTGTATAGCTACACTGCATTGTGAGAATTGTATACGGGTCTATTTAAGAGATAATTATATAAACTGGACTTCTGGAAATTATGATGTTGATGTCTTAATACAAAGTTGTCAATGGGAAACACTCCGCCCAGATAAAATACTTGAATGGGTACCATTCAATAAATTACGAGATGTTAAATATACGTGTAAAGGTGGATTTTCTGAAGTTTATTCCGCAGAATGGATTGATGGAAGATATGATACATGGGATTCTAAAGAACGACAATTGAAAAGACTTGGATCACATAAGGTAATACTTAAAAAGATATCAAATATTGACAATTCGAGTCAACTTTGGTTTGATGAGGTATGTATTTTTTTAATTTCATTTATGAAGATTTTCTATCATGATTAATTGATTGACAAACATCATTTCTCAAAAAAAAAAAAAAAAAAAAAAAATTTGTAGGCAAGGTCACTTTTAACTTTAAATAATAAATGGGCAGAAATTGTTAGATGTTATGGCTTGACTCGAAATCCATTAGACGGAAATTATATGCTTGTGATGCTTTCAATGGATACGAATTTAAGAAAATATTTACAGCAAAACCATTATAGCCTTACATGGAAAAACAGAGTTAAAATATCTCATGATCTCATTCATGCTTGTCTCAGAATTCATAATGATAATGCGATTCATCGAAATTTGCATTCCGGGAATGTCTTATATTTACAATATAATGACTATTGGTATATAACCGATCTTGGATTTTGTGGACCAATGGATAAACCATACAAAAGTATATATGGTAACCTCCCTTACATCGCACCTGAAGTTATAGCTGGAAAAGAAGTTACCACGGCATCTGATATATATAGTATTGGTATTATTATGTGGGAGCTTTCATCCGGAGAATCGCCTTTTATGAACTATAATCATACCTATGGTTTTGCATTGAGGATAGTTAGTGGTATGAGACCCAGGATTTTACCAGGAACTCCTTCAGAATATAGAAGAATAATGAAGCAATGCTGGGATGCTATCCCACAAAATAGACCTACTGTATTTACTCTTGTAAACGAAATTGAAAAATTGTGGAAACATTGTCTTAATGAAAGTTCATGTGAATATAATTCTACTATATCTGAAAATTCTCAAAGAATAGTAGAAGCATTAAATCCATTACCAATTAATACTTCATGTAGTAAGGTTTATCGATTTGATAATTTACCAGACCCCAAAAATGCAACGCCCGGTAAAATATTTAAATTTTATAAAATGTTTGTTTTAAATATTTTAAAGTTAATAAACTATCTAATTTTTGTATTTATTCTATATAACAGATGAACAAGAAGGTAATTTCTTATTTAAATATTATGATTTTATAACCTTTTTTATTATATTTTTTTATGATGATTAAATATGATTTTTGTTTATTTGATTTTTATAGCGTTTCATCGCAAACTTTAGGATATGCCTGATTAACTTAATGTGTATTAACAGACCCACCGATATTTTAGATGGCCGAATAAACTATTAATGCCAATTATTTATTTTATTTATATTAGGTAACAATAGTTTTTTTTTTTTTTTTTTTTTTGCAATTTTCCTGTTTTCAATTTAATTATTTATTGCAAAACAATGTATTTGATTATTTAATAAAGTTTTATTGTTATTATTTATTATATAAGATAATAGAATAAAAAGTCGCAAAAACAATTTTCATAGTAAGGTCATATTGACTCATCATTACTCATACCGTGCTGCGCATAATAACCCCGTTCCACCAGCATCTCTTTTTTTTTTTTTTTTTTTTATATCGGATTTAAATTCCTGAATGGCTTAATAAATTGGTTCATATTTTTATTAGCACAATAAATTTTTTTCTTGAATAAATTTTTTCATTTTTTAGAGTTAAAATTAACAATAAAAAATGAATAGCCCTTTAACTTCAATACCCGATTTTCAAAGGTTCATAGAGATTTTACCAAATATCTATCGAGCAACATTTAGTCAAAATTATGCAAAACTATCATATCCGATCAACGTATTTCTCATTCACATTCCCACAACTAATGATTGTATTTTACTCGATACATCTGATCCAACTAATGCTAATCATCTCTTGAATGCACTTTCCACTCATTTCTCTTCTCATCCAAATTATAATTTAAAATATATTGGACTAACTAACGATAATTATGATCATACAGGCTCTATAACCAAATTATTAAAGGATTATAAACAAGTTCAAGTGCTATTGGGAGAATCAAAAGATGGAAATTTGTTAAAAGATTTGTGTAGAAAAGATGAAATTGCGGATAGATGTCAGATTATTAAACAGGATGACGAAGGAGAATTTGAATTTTATGACATCCTTAAACCAATATTTACATTTGGAAATCCATCAGGTATGATATTTTTGTTTTCAAAATAATCAATCAACATTTATCAATTTTTTTCACATTTAAAAATCTATAGGTTCCCTTTCATATTTACATATTCCAACAAATTCGGTTTTTATTGGAGATTTGATCATGAACATTTCATATTTATCATATCCATCTATTACGCTACCATTAGCTTTAACAAAAGTTCAGTTAAACAATGTTAAATTAGCCATAACTCAAATTTTTCAATTAGAAAATGTCAAACATATCTTCCCTTCTCATGATTATAGTCATAATGGTGTTGAAATTGATTTGTTTAGAGATTTCGTGAAAAATTCTTATTTATAACATTAAAAATGTTTTCACGTATTAAAAACAAGTCCGCCTTCTTTTGTTGGCGGCAATACCTAATGAAATTTATTTAATATATTGTTATAAAAAATTATATAATTAAATGAAAAATTTCTATCCTTACATAATAGGATTTGAATTCGAAACTTAAGAAAAAAACTTTCCAATAAAATTTAGGTTTCAATTAAGTTCAAATAATGTAAACATTGATATTAGATAAATATAACGATAACATTGTCTCATCTACGCTAAAATTATTGCATCATCCGAATACAAATTTCTAAATGGCATCATCTAGAAGGCGCATTGTCATATAAATTATTTAAGACTTATCATTAAATATTTTCAATAGTAGATTGTAGGGTTTAAGGGGTTTACAGGCAAATTCGCTGCTTATTTACAGTAGTGGCGGAAAAAAATGGCAGTTTAGATCACGTGACTATATTGGCGAACTGCGTCACATTTAATTAGATAACTCGAACTAATTTTTATTTACTTGTTTACTAGGTTATACTAATCAATATGCATAAATAAATCAGATACTAGAATATTTCGTGACCTTATAAACATAATGTAAAATTTCTATTAAAAGCTTGTAAAGTTGTTATGGTAAAATGAAACATAAAATGTAAACTAACTTTACAAAATTACCAAGTTCTCATCAAGGATATTATTTTGGTGAACATCTCAGTTAAAAAAAAACCAAAGATTTAAAACAAGATCATTTATTGACTAAAATGGCCAAAAAAAATAATTTCAAAAAAGTGGTATCACCTTGCTCATTCTCATGTAGAAGCGACAAGCTTTAAAATCACAGACACTCTTAATAACTCTCACTCAAGCCTTAACATAACCACTTGTACAGTTCATAAAATCTTTGGAAGCTTAGTTACTGAGTTTGTATTCCTAAAATGCTTTATTTTTTATTTCTTTTGCAAAAGAGTAATAAGTTTCTTGAGTAAAAGCTCATAAAAATAAAATATAAAAAACACTAATAAAACAACTATTTAAAATTTTTAAAATATTACTTTGGTTTATTATAAGAAGGAAAAATAAAAACTAACTTGTAGGATTGTTAAACATCTATTTAAAGTTTATATTTAGAAGCTTTTTATATGCAAAAATTTGTTGGATTTCATATGTTACTAAAAATATAAATAGAAAGTTATATCATGAAATTTTAACTAATAAGTATTTCAAAGTTTTAAACATTTCAATAGGATAATAATCTAAAATATAAGGTTAGATTAATAATATATTTTCTTGAAAATCAATGTTCTACAGTTCTTAATTGTCTTTATATTTTCTAAAATCTGAATTCTATAGAAAACTTGTGATTAATTTTTAAGAGAAGGTTAATAAATGAATCAGTGAAAAAATTAGTTATTCAAAGAATTTATGAATATTATTAAAGAAAAATGAAGTAATATCAATTAAAACCTTTGCCTTAGTTTATTAAATAGTATACCAAAGAGAATAGAATTAGTAATGTATGTAAAAGATAAGAAGTATTCGTAAACTTCTTAAAATATTTTTAATCTTCTCAAAATTTTTTTGAAATTTCAAAATTAAGAATACTTTAAAAAATTTATGAATATATTTTACTTTCTATATATATAATTAAAAGAAATGATAATATTATTTAATACTAAAAATTTAATATATAATAATCATAGTTTTTATTTACTTATTTTTTAAATTTTAAACAGTTTTAATAAAAATTAATTATATAAATGAATTTTCATTTATTACTATTTTTTTTTATCACTATTGTACTATAACTTTTCTTATAATTTATTTTTATAAAAAATTAAAAATTTTTAAATTAATTTTATAAATATATATATAATTCTTTTAAAAAGTAATGATGAATAGATTTTAATCTTATATATATTAAAATAAAGATAAAAATAATATTTATAAATTTTTTTAAGTAATTAATATGTAGTGTATTCTCTATTTGCATCAATATATAAGAGACGGTCAATAGAAAAGGAGAAAATCTACAAATTTCAAGTAATTTTAGTTATTAAGCTAATTTTATTTACATAACTATGATCAATAGAGTGAGCTAATAAAAAAATTTTTGACTAAAAAGTGGATTTCTTTCTTTTCTACTGATCACCTTCTATATGCTTAAATTTAATTAGATATACTATTGATACAGTTAAATAATATAGAATTATCAAAATTATCCTATTCTTCACAAATAACATTAAAAAAATTTTTATTTAAAATTTTTATTATACAATTTTTTTTTAATTTTTTTAAAATAACTAATATTTTTAATTAAGTTAAATTTAAACTATAAGAGGGTCAAGAAAGAACTTGAATTAAAAAGTAAATTTTAAGTTTTTTTTAGATTATTGTCTCACTAAAAAATATAGTGATAATCTAGTAATTCATTTGTATTATTATAAAGATGATCATTAAAAATTTGGTGATATAAGTGATGATTAAGATTTTTAATAAATATGTACATGTTGATCTTCCTTTTAATTAAAAATAATACTGCAACTAGTTGCAATTAGTAATAAATAAGTATTACATAGTTGCAACTAGTTGTAATATTAATAAAATTGAATTACAACTAGTTGTAACTAGTGACAAATAAGCATTACATAGTTGCAACTAGGTGCAGCATTATTTTTACTTTTAATATTAATCATAACTTAAACATACATCTTAAAAAATGCTTAACTATAAGATTCTTATCTTTAGACTATATTAAAGTAATGTTATAAAATATTTAGATTATAGTTTTATCAGAAAACTATTTTTTTTAATCATAATACAAGTAATCTTGTATTCAAGACAAATAATTATCTTTCACTTTTTAGATTAAGAGAAGAAAGAACTTTTGGAAAAAAATTGATATATAATTAAAATAGTAAAGTTTTCATTAAATAGTTACTTTACTAACCTTTAAATTTAAATCTTTTTCTTTAAATATAGTCTTCAATTCTTCTACTGCAGTAAAATAATTATTCTTGATGATTATTTTTATATACAGTTAACTCTTAATATAGCGAACTCTTGATATAATGAATTATTTAAAAAATATAATAAAAATACTCTTATTATAGTGAATTAATCAATCAAATCTTTTAAAATCTTTACTATAGCCTTATAGCAAAGTTGAGGTTTAAGACATGGAGTTCATTATAATAAGAGTTGAATGTAATAGCATTTTTGAAATATCAATATTTGTGATTAGTTAGGTCAATAAATTTTAAAAATATTATCATTTTTCACAAAAAGATAATATATCTTTCACAATAATATAAGAGAATTCTAATTTAGGTGAAAATTTACTTGCATTATATATGTTTTTATTCTAATAGAATTTTATGACTTTATAATTTATTTTAATAGATATTGATAGCATTATGATTTTAGTAAGTAATAAAAAAGTTTAAAAGATTTTAATTTATTTTTTTATTATTTATTTTTATATAAATATTATATTATCTAATTTAGCTTAATAAATAATAAGTCAAATTGGAATAACAAAGATATTGCAATCAGCATAATAGGCTTAAGTATAATTAGTTGATTTTCAAAATGATAATCATATATTAAATTCATATAAAAAAAATAATCATTATTTTAAAAAGATTCGCAACCACAAGGATAAATTTACAAGAGTTATGATAAAAAATTTCTAAAGTATACCTTCTGTTTTATAAACTGTTAAAGTAATTTAGTAAAAAGCAAGGTAATTCAGATCTTAGCTAATAAAGGTTTCTTTATAATATGTTATTTTATATGTATATATATAAAAAGAGAGAAAAAGAGATTGAGATTTAAAATTTTATATTAGTATATATTTTTAAGGCTTATTTATAAGAGAAGGTTGGATTATTTCTAATAAATAATAAATAATATACAACTATTCTTTCATATTTTAATTTTATTATATAATTTAATTTAAATTTTTAAACTAAATAAATAATAAATTGTAATTTAGATAAATATCTAAATGTATTTTACATTAATATAATTTAATAAAAAAATATTTTAATATATTTTTTACTTGTTAAAGATAATTTGATATTTTTACATAATATTTTTACATAAATATTAATGATTTCAAACTTAAAAATTAAAATTTTTATTAAAATAAATAGTCTATTACAGTCTACATAAGAAATAATATCTCTATTAATTATTATAAAATTATAAAGTTAAAATTAAATTAAATTTAAAAATTATCTTTATTTTATTTTTTTAAATAATTATTAAAAATATATAAATAAATAAAAGAAAAATAAATAAATCTTTATATCTATATTTACAGATAAGCTTATAAAATTTTCAGAAAGTATAATCTATTAGGATATTATACTGATTAATTAATTAAAACTATATCAGCTAATTATAAAAATTTATATATTAGAGATTTTTATCATTATATAATAATTAAATTAAGTTTGAATATTTTTTTATCATTAGTTAATTAAAGGATATTTAATAGATCAATAGCAATTTATCATCATTTATCTATGCAAGTTCTTTGAATTAGTATTTTTTTCTATTATGTAGATCTTTGCATATTTACAAAAATTTAGTTTGCTTTATGTGATTTAATTTTTTTAAAAACTTTTGATATTCTATCTATTATAATAATATATACTAATTAGTATACTTCAAAATGATTCACTGTATTTTAAAACGTTAATTTACTTTCAAATTTTTACAGCAAAAATATATATAGTTTAAGAACAAAATTATATTAAGGTATTTCATTTTGTAAAAAAAAATTTTAAGATTTGACCTTAAGAATCTAAAAATATTTGTAAATATTGATTTTTAAGAAGAAATATTTAACCCATTTTTAAAAAATGAACGTAATACTTTATAATAGTTTTTAAGAATAGTTTTCAACAAACAAAAAGAAAAATAAGCTCAATATTGATAGGAATTTTGTAGAAATTTAAGATTATTTTAATAGTAAATGATTATAAAAAAAGATTTAAATTTAATTTAAAGCTTTA